AACTGTGACGATTTGTTAATCTAATGAATAACTGATTTGTTAAATCAAATGAAAAATTGTGTGTTTGATTGGTCCAAACGCTACAATAGTTATCGTTATAGTAATCACTATAGTAATCGTTAAAAGTTTTCACGATAGTTATCATTATAGTAATCACTATAGTAATCGTTAAAGTTATCACTATAGTTATCATTATAGTAATCACTATAGTAATCGTTAAAGTTATCACTATAGTTATCATTATAGTAATCACTATAGTAATCGTTAAAGTTATCACTATAGTTATCATTATAGTAATCACTATAGTAATCGTTAAAGTTATCACTATAGTTATCATTATAGTAATCACTATAGTAATCGTTAAAGTTTTCACTATAGTTATCATTATAATAATCACTATAGTAATCGTTATAACTATAGTTATCATTCTTGAAGTGAAGTGAGCATTCCAGTAATGAGTACCCAGGGCTTAACTGTCCCTCATAAGAATGTTTTGTTTTCCCATTAGTAGTCACATGACGCACCTCTCGTCATCAGGCAGGTGCAGCCACTGCAGGGTAGTGAGGATCCTCCGCTCCAGAGGAATCACCCTACAGACAGAGAGACAGACAGACGGGTTCATTCAGCCCCTCACAAACAATGTCACACAGACGTCAGAGCTCTTCTTCACGGGCCACTGGTCCTCACAACTCATGCGAATGAAGCTCTTCAGGGAAGAACATGAACATCGGGACAGTTTGAGCCGCTCTGAATGACCAGTGTGTGTGTGTGTGTGTGTGTGTGTGTGTGAGAAAGGTCTTTGTTTGAATCATGTGTTGTTTGTGTCACGAGTCTCTTGGCGTGACACTCTGAGCTTTGCTCCAAACACTGAATGCTGATTTTAGAAGAAAACCTCCACTCTGCTGAGAAACAGCAGTAGAACATAAACATTTAAGATCTGAAATCAATCAAACGAAGCAGATAAATGAATAATCCTGCTAAGTGTGATTGCGAGCGCTTTATTTGTGACATTCAGCACATTTGGACTGAGATCTCTGCTCACCAGGGCCAGAAGAACGTCCCAGCTTTCACGCCCTGCTTCTCTGCTGTGATCCAAACCTGAGACGACAAACAGACAAAAACGGTCTAAATTATTAAACACGAACCCACTTCAAATTAGACTTTCCATCCAAACCCAAATGGAGCTTGATGATTAGTTTAGTGTTCCCATGTAAAACCTGTACAGAATCTGGACCACAAGTACAGAATCACATTTATGCCGTACGACATTATAAAGCTTATGTAAAGCGTCTCGTCTGTGATTGGCTGAGGGCCATGTGTGTGCGGAGTCATGACTCACGGGCTGCCCGCCCCACCAGCGGTGTTTCAGCTTCTCTCGTCCTTTCAGTCTGAAATTAGCTTTGAACACGGGATCATACATGGAGTTACACACGATCCCGTGAGATTCGGGATACAAACCCTGAGGAGGAACACCAGAAAACACCAACCAGTTCAGTTAAAATCACATCATAAGAGCAAATCAAGTGCTCACATACAAGAATCAGGTGTAAAAACAATTTTCACTCAGAAACCACTAGTAAATTTCACAAAGAAGTGGCAAGTAACACATTCAATTAAATGTGAAATTTTGAAGTAGAAAAACTGAAAGTCCAACAAGACGAGATGCTCGCACACATAATCTTAGAAAATTTCCATACATCAAAATTGGCCTCTAAACAAAAGCATTTCATAAGATTTTTTTTGTTGTAATTTTTTTTAAGCGTATCCACCAAAGTATTCTATTTACAAACATATTTGGTGCGGATATTTAACAGCTTTTTTTGCTGGTATTTTCTTTTCTTTTAAAGCATACTCAAATGTTTGTAAGGTTAAAAATAAAACATTTTTTTATGGTGTACTGTATGGTGAATGTATTTGGTTTGAGCCCACTATATATATATATATATAATTAATTGAATAACAATCACGCTATAAATGGTACACAAATAGTAAAATAGAGTAAAAAATTAAGAAAAAGATTAGAAATTATGTGAATTTCATTAGTTTCTCAGTACTGCAGTACAACTAAAAAATACTGTGATACTTAAAATATTTGTATTTCATTTTGAACTGTCAGAATTTTAAATCCCAATGTTCATAAAAAGGCTCAATTTTGTTTAGGCAAGTTATCATGTTATATATCAATAGTCTAGTTTAAATAATCTTACATTTCTTCTCAACATAACAGCATTTACATATTCATCTTGTGCAAAAATACATTAAAAGCCTTCATTTCAATGTTAACTCTCCAGATACAGTCCGTAGCATGCAGGAATTTGACATGTTGTGCTTCAGATGATCGGATTCATGATTAGAGCAGTGATCTCTCAGTTATATCTGAGTGCGCTGAGTGAATCTGTCTGCTGTGAACTGTGTTTGGTACCGTGGCCAGCGAGTAGAGGTTCGGGAATGTTTTGGACGGGTACATGGGCCTCATATGAGGGGCGCGAGTTCCACACGATCCTATAAAGAAACACATGAAACTGTTTTAACGAGCAGCTGATAAATGAGCAGCCGTTTTAATGACTAGCTGCTCCTGAGACCTCAGTCATGGAAGACGCTGTATTTCGCACTAAATCACTCACTCAACAGTCGCCAGACGCTTACTGATAATGAGTGATGTTCAGGAGCTTCTATCACTGTCGGTCTGAACAGTTAATTTCTTTTCTCGACTGATGACAGAAAGACATGAACATCTTGTAAATCATCAGGAGATTTTTATTCTGTAAGTGAACGAATACTTTAAAGGGGTCATATAATTTTGCTAAAAAGAAAATTATTTGGTGTAATATGTTTATGCGGTTTAAGGTTAAAAAAACACATTATTTTCCACATACTGTACATTATTGTTTCTCCTCTATGCCCCGCCTTTCTGAAACGCGTCGATTTTTACA